GGCTCTCAATGTTCCACACCGCCCGGCCACAGAGCCGCCGCCGCCGCCGTAGAGCCCCCCGGCCGCCTCCGTCCCCTCCTCGGGCGCCGCGGGCCCGGCCCGGCCCCCCGCCATCCCGCCCCTCCGACCCAGCAGCGGGACAGGACGCCGGCGAAGGTAAGCGAGAGGCGGGCGAGGCGGCTGCGGCGGCGGCGGCGGCTGGGCGAGCGCGGTGGGGGGAGGCGGGGAGGAGCGGGGGGGCCGCCGAGGAGCTTTGTTCTTGTTTTCGGCGCTCGCTGCCTGCCGGCGGCCGGGGGCGCGGGGCCGGCCGAGTTCACGCCTCACTTGGTGCACACACACGCGCGGCGCCGAGCGGGGCCGAGCCGAGCCGAGCGGGGCCGGCCGAGCCGAGCCGCCGCCTGCCGCGCCGCGCCGGGCTCTCCCCACAAAGCGCGGCCGCCCCCGGCTCCGCGGCGGCTCCCGGCCGCCGGGCAGCCCCCTCCCCCCGCCGCCACCATGTCGGAGCGGGGGGGCGGGCGAGAGGGCAACGCGGAAGGTGCGGGCGGCGGCGGGCTGCCTCCCCCCCGGCGGCCCTGCGGGGGCCCAATGCGGCTCTGCCGGCGGGCAGTGGGGCTGCCGCTTCCCGAGTTGCTCCCGACGCATCTTCTGCGGGTTCTGCGGGGGTTTGCCTTTAAAAAAAACAAGCCGCGTTCTCCCTCTTCCCCCCCCCCCCCCCCCCCCCCCCCCACCCCCCCCCCCCACCGCCCAGCCCTTTAAATGCACAGAGCAAGTGTACGCTTTGGTCTGAGAGCAGCCCGAGTCTCATTGGCAATGGAGCTCCTCCGAGAGAGGGGTTGAGGGGGGATCTGGCGTTTGGACCCAATAAAATGCTCCGTTCCAGTGTAAATATTTACAGGGTATCGGTGACTCCTTAAAAAACATTCCCGGGGAGGTCTGTTATTTACAATGTGTCATAAGTTATTAATGCGCGTTTCCTAAGTGCCCTGCTCAATCTGTCTGTGCCTCAGAACCAAGCCGACAATTGGCATATTGTTTGAAGCATGACAAAAATGCAAGTGGGTTTAAAAATGGGAAATGCCGGTGTTTTCCAAAGTGTAAATGTTGTGGTGTAGCTGTCAAGTTGCAGCCCTGGCAGATGAGACAAAGAAGAGGATCCTGGTGGGTTTCTCCATGAAATAGAGTTGTCACCAACCAAAGCATTCTTCAGAGCTCCGGACGGCGAGGGGTGACCTGCGTGCTGTAGTAACTGCCTCTTCTCCTCCTTCCCTACAAGTTCCCCACGATGTCCAGTGACAGGCAGAGGTCAGATGATGAGAGCCCCAGTACCAGCAGCGGCAGCTCAGACGCCGACCAGAGGGATCCCCCGGCACCTGAACCTGAGGAGCAGGAGGAAAGGAAACCCTCTGCCACCCAACAGAAGAAGAACACCAAACTCTCCAGCAAAACTACTGCTAAGCTATCTACTAGTGCTAAAAGGTACTTGTGGCATCCAGCATCCTGTAGCGGTTTTGCACGGTGTGTGGACTCACAGTGTTGCACTGCACTTCCCAAGGCAGAGGGATTGCTTTAAAGCCACGTAAGATATGGTGCAGTACAAACTTCTGTAGCATGCAAGTCTGCTGGGAAGGACCTTCATCAGTCCAAGTCCTCTGAGGCAGTAATACGCAGGCTGGCCGTATTTCTTTGGAGTTGTTGGAGAACTTGGTAACTCACAGGCCGGTCAGGGGGCACCTGAGTGCCTCATATTTGTAGAAATGAGCGAGAAAGCGTCAGCTTCAGGTGTCTGGTTTGCTGAGACAGGTTTACATCCCTTGTTGGTGTGGGGTGGATCTTCCTGGTGTATTTCAATGCAGGCTGCAGGGTGATGTCAAGCAGTGCTCTTTAATTACAGAAGTCATACAAGCCCCGTGGCTTCTGCAGGCCTTATGATTGCAGTAGAGCCCCGTGCATCTTAAAGTCACAGTTTTGTCCTGAAGTGCTTTCTGGAGAAAGTCAGGCAAATCTTTTCTCACAGGATCTGTGGATTCCAACCATGAGGTTCTTCAGGTGTAGCCTCTAAGTATCAAAATCTCAAGAAACCTTGTCTGGCTTTATCTGTTGCATTTCTATTTACACACAAGGTTACAGGCAGTCCAGCTCTGGAGACATGCGTGCTAATTATTTTCTGTAAGTTCAGCTGTGTGAAATAAAGCAAACTTTAATTCCCTCAATCCCAGTTGCCTTCTGAGATGAAACACAACTTTCAGGCTTTTCCCTGGAGTTCCCATTCTTTACAAACATTTACAAATACGCTGTAGCAAGAGGAGCTGTGCAATAGCCACAGTAGCTTTGAGTTTTGCTTATCCAGCCCAAATACAGCAGCTCAAACTTTGAGGGATGTTTTTCGTAATTTTGCACTGTACTTAAACTCAGTAAATACATTTTGCAATGTCTTAGAATTACTGCAGAATGTGACAGGGTGACTGATGACTTTTGAGTTTGTTAAAGAAACCCTTTGGAATAGGAGTTGGCTGCAGAAGGAAAAGTTCTGGAAACACTGCAGACTTTGTAATTTGCTGTTAGGTTTTGGGGTTTTTTTTTGTTCTTTATTCTTTCTTTTTTTTCTTTTTCTTTTTTTTTTTTTTTTTCTTTTAAATGCCTGAGGTGCATCACATAGAGGCTCACAACTGAGTTTTCTCCTCTTACCTTTGTTTTGGTTAATCTTTGTGAGCCCAGTCCTGTACATCTCCAGTAGTTCAGTAGTGTGGTTGGACTTGATGGAAATGGTGCAAGGGCTTTCAGGGCAGTCGCTGTTAGCTCATACTCTAACACTTGCTGTACACACAGAAAAACGGTCTTGCTCGCGTGGGTTTTCTTGTGCAGGTTTTTTGTTGTTGTTTTGACATTTTAAAGAGGAAATTGCCTTGAATCTTTAAAAGTTACACCTCCTATGCACATGGATAAATAGTAAGATTAACACGAAGTTTTCAGTGTTGTTTTTCTGGACTGTAACATTTTGGGAGTGGTTGTTACAATATAAAGCTAAGCATATATTATTTCAGGTTATTATGTTGCTTTTTATCATGTAAATACAGCTCCTGTAAGGCTGGGGGAGGAAAGGCAGCAGAAGGTGTTGAGAGGAGCAAAGTTGATGTGGAGATGATTCCAGTGTCAGAGGCAGCCAGGCAGATGTGCAAACCTACTTTTTAAACACCCTGCAAAGCAGGAGGTAGAATATTGCCAAAAGAATACATTTGCTGACAGCACGGCTTGCTTCTTCAGCCTCGATCACAGTTCCGTAGCGCTGGTTTAAAGTCATTGTCAAATGTGCTTGTACGGCCCCCCTCCCCCCGGCTCATTTGCATATTAGCTTGAAAAGAAAATCTCTCCGGCAAGATGTGCTCGGATATGAAAAAGAGTTACTGTTCTGGGTACTTGTGGGAGATTCCTACCGAACTCGGCTGTGAGCGTTCTGTTTATACACAGGATCGAGCAGGAAAAAAAGCTGCAAAGTTTCTCAGCTGTGGGATTTGGGTTATACCTCTGAGAACAAAGAGGAAGCAGCCATGTTAGCATTACTGAAGGCAAAGCCAATCTTGCATTTAACTGCATGGTGGTAGAGGGCAGTGTAATTCCCTGATTTATTCTATAGACTATCTCAAATGCTTTGTGTCTGTTCTCGTTTCACCAACAGAATCCAGAAGGAGCTAGCTGAAATAACTCTTGATCCTCCTCCTAACTGCAGGTATGTAACAGCTTCTTAAATCGTGGACAGTGCTAGGAGATTAACGTGCTCAGGCTAATAAATGGGAAAGTTTGTGTTTACAGCTGGTGACTATTAGACAACAATCGTGTGCAGCGGGTTGAACAAGCAAAGGGAACGTTTGATATTTTGTCTGCATGCTGTAGGGGTAGTCATTAGTGGTTGATGTACATAGAGAAATGTATGCAGTTTGTTTTATGTAGTTGGTCACTGCCTTTGTGAAATGTTGATTATGTGAACTTCAAAATATACTGAAGCTTGCGACATGATGTTTGCATGTAGGTTGAACTGTCTTTTGAGTGACAGTTTAGAGTCACTGCTTGATTCTGAAGCAAAAGCAAAGAACTGAATGTGATTTTTATATGCTTTCTCTTAGTGTGTTGCTTAACAGTTAGATAAGAAGTGTTGCCTTCACATTTATGTGCCTGTCAGTCAGAGCTGCAGTCCCTTGGTAAAGAATGTTTTCAAGGAGGTTCCCAGCCTGAGAAACACTTCTGTTGGTTTTTAGAAAATGAAATTATAAGCGTGGAACTCCAAGTGATACAATCTTAAATAAAGGAAAGGTAACTGGAACACTGATCTGTAGGGAAGTTGAATAGTACCATAGCCGGCTAATTTCTTTGAATCTTTAACATGTTTTACTTTTGTTTAAAAGACACATAAAATTCTCATTAGCTGTGAGCATCCAGCAATCAGACTTGCACTAAAACAGCATATAAATAATGTTGTTTCATTTGACGCATCTCTGCATGCTTTCTGACTGTAAGATTTCTTCAGATTAACAGCTCGTGTAGCAGTAAGAAATGGACACATTAAAAAAATGCTGGAAGTGCTTTCTGATTCTGGGTGAGAATTGTTGGGCATTTGGAATAGTTTGAAAGGTTGGTGCAGGTCTTGTGAATTTGGTAAGATGTGAGTTTCTCTCATTATCTTAATAGGCCTGGAGAGGCAGGGACTTACCGAGCTGTGTTTATTGAATCTGTGGTAAAGGTGTCTCACCTTGAGAGCAGTGCTGTAGATCGCCTCTGGCTGTCTGATGTATCTGCCTGCAAGGATGGTGGCTCTCGCTCTTCACAGGTGCGAGCTCTGTAGACAGAGAGAAAATAGTCTGCTTTGGTTTTAGTTCATAAACTGTTTAATAGCTATCCTGTTACTGGAATCTAGTTCTATGTTTGTCATGTATTGTAGGTTTAAAACCCCCCAAATGGGGCACAGTAGGAGAGAGAGTTTCTGAAGGAAATAAAACACGAATGCCTTGCCTTATAGATAAACACTGAAAATATCACTGGAGCAGTTTCAGGTACAGCATGCTGCAGCCTGGCTTTCAGAAAGAGAAGACCACCACCCCCCTCATGCTTTCCAGTAGTATCTGATCTTCAGCTGCTTGGGAAAGCATGCTCCTGTGGTATTAGCACAAGAGCACTGCAGTGAATCCTTGTGAGCTGTACTACCAGATACCCAGGAATGCCATTGAAAATTATGAACCTCCACCCCCGAAAGTCTCTAAAATTATTCAAAACTTCTCTCCTACAGAGTGCAAGGGAGAATATGATTATTTTTGACAGTGTCAGTGCTGCTTCTCCTATAGACATTTTTGTGGAGGAATTCACCCTTTAATAAAAGCAACAGTATGATGATTGTATTTTTACCTCCTGCAAGTATAAAAAATAATTAGAAAGAGGCATTGACATCTTTAACAGAAATTCTGGATGTTCAGGATGAGCAGTTTGAACAGAGTTTGATTGCCCAAAAGGTTACCACAACACTGCAAGTTCCTTTTCAGGAGGAGCCTTTCTGGCATAGGGAGGTAAATGCAGCTGAAGCAGAAGGCTTATAACATGCTTTCATATAAGTTACAGTAGCACAGATCAGGCAACAAACTGATACAACAGGCACCTGCACTTCATTGATTTACATTCCACAAACAGCAGAATGTTGCTTATGTTACTGAATACATTTATTGTATATGTAAAAGTAAATAAAATGTAAAACAACAATGCATTTAAAAGCCTGCAGAACTTGGACCTATTCACGTGTTTTAAAAATGACAAGCTGCTTCTATCTTAAGATTTCCCAAAGAGATTTCTTCACGCCAAGTTGCATTCCCCCAGTCCTAGAGTTGGCCCTTACCAGTTGCAGGGTTCACAGCAACGCAGCTGGTGGCTGATGCTCTCAGATAACAGTCCTTCTGGTTGCCCACTTATGGAAGTAACTAAGAAAATCTAGCATTTTGAAAATTACAATAATGCACATGCAAACATTATATGCTAATTTAAAGGGATGCACTCTTCTGTGCTGTGGTAAATGCTGCTGCTGCTTCTCACCTGCCAGTGAGTTGCTTCCTAACACACTTCCACCAGAAGGACCTGAGCTTGATTTAGTAGCTTAAAAATGACACTAACTGGTTGTGCTGTGATTGTTGCTCAGAAGATGCGTAGGTTTCCTCAGCAGTGAAATTTCCCACACTCACAGCTATTACTTCTAACAGCTGTTTTATAAAAATGCCTGAGCCCCAGGAGAGCCCCATTCTCGGGTGTGCTGAGGAGGCCTGGGCTGCACATTAAGTTCTATTTTAGGCACTGGGGCAGCAGAATGGCAGGCACATTAAAAATGTCTAAAAAGCAGGGGTTTTTGCTTGCTTATCTCTATGGTATACTTTCTGATTCTGTTTGGTTAATTGGGCAATGAAACATTAGAAAACTCACATTGTCTACCACTCACAAATACAACATGAGCTGCATCCTTGAGGATACCACCCCAAAAAAAAATCTTCATGCTGTCAGCTGTCTACTTTAATGTATATTAATACCCTATATTCTTTTGGGTTACAGTATGATTTCCAAGAAAGACAGAGCATCAAAAACAATGAAATTAAATTTGATCTTAAACCACTAAAGATGACAGGAAAGAAATTAAGTACTGCTTTCACCTCGTGTTTACTCCCATCTCATAGAAGGGCTTGAAATGAGTCAGTTACTGTCCAGCTGTAACACCAGGGCACATAGGCAGGCTGAGGACACAGGTATCCAATCCTGTTTTTTCTTGCTTTTGCTGGCTTAACTCAAAGCTCTACTACTTGATGCAGTGTGCTGTATTTAATTTCTTTTGTGCTTTTAATAGCATAAAGCACAGCTAAAAAGGTCTTGGCCCTATTGCTCCTAGGCAGCTCAATTTCAAACCATGGCCAAGTGCTTTTACAGGCTTCAAGGTACGGAAGTGTGCCAAAACCCACTGTTGTACATTCTCAAAAATGCTGCAAAAGGTTTTGCACATAATGCATGTTAGATCTGTGCTGCAGAAATGCTCTTAAATAGGTTTGACATACCTGGAATGGCTGTTCTCAGTTCATGGTGAGAAACTGTTCAGAACGGAGGTCAGCACGCCAAAGCTGAGGTTAGATCTGAGGCTGCTGTGCTGACCTGGGCACCTTGGAGGCTGCAGGGTACAGCAGGGCTCCCACCCTCCAGGTGCTTCCTGGCTTTTAGGGCTGAGACAAGGGAGGCCATTCCCAGGGGTACCATGATTTAGAGCAGTTTCTATTAGTTGCTCCTGGCTGCTCTGAAAATCCACAATAGCAACAAGATGCATCTCATTGCCTTTCCTTGATCCTCCTCCTTTCTACTTCAAATTTAATTGTTGTTCAACTTGATGAGAAAGTTTTGAAGTTCAATCCAATACTAAAAAAATTAGTAGCATTCATGCCAGCACACTTTATAGTTTACATTCACTTTTACAACAAATTCAGTTTGGTGTAAAGTTCGGAGGATATAAAAACAAACACTGAAATGAGTGTATCCACTGAGAGGTTAATTCATGTGGTTTAGAAAGGAGTGAGATAAGATAGCGTGTCTTTCCCATGCAAGTGTGAGAATTGGAACAGTTTATGGTCTAGTCTGTCAGTTGGATTTAATCACCTTTCTTTGTTAAATTAAAGATCAGACATTTGAAAACAAGTGCTTATAAAGGCCAGACAAAGCCACGTGCCTTATAGCCCTGGTAAGAGGCAGCTTTTCTCCTTCATACTGCTGGGAAATAAGATTTCTTATTGAGAGAGATTTTTGGATCACCCCAAAGGCTCCCTTGCTCTGTCTTGTCCTCTTGCTAGTGAACATCTGAACTTAAACCTGATCAGGCCACTGAGAAGATTTTTCTTAATAGAGATTACTATCAGATCTTGTACGCTAATAGATACTAATGTGATTTTTTTTGAGCTGTGCTACAGAAGATAGCAGTGATGATTTTGCTGTTTATGCCGTCTCCTAAGCTGGCAGGCACATTGATAACTTATGAGTAGCTCATTTTAAAACTCCTGATTTTAAAATAACTCTGCAAAGTACATGTGCTAAGCACAATGGGAAGATAACATGTAGGGTTTTTGTTTTAATATAAGATTCTTGTGCTTCCAGAGGACTGCATCTGTCCCTTTCATTACAGTTACATGTGGGCTAGTTCTGTGCTGTACAGTTTTGTCAACTAAACCCCACAATCTAGTGTATGACAAAGAAAAATGCCTGCAAAACCCAGACAGATGCTTTCTCTGGTTTAGTTATGGACCCATGAATCCAGATGTTTTTAACTGTCTTACTGTGGTTATTACAACATCAGTGAGGAAGAACTGCAGTATGTATTTAAAGCAATGTAGTGCAGGTATCCTTCAGAGTAGCAATTTAAGCTCTTTCAATTGAGCTGTCTGAAGCAATGAGAAGCAGTAAATGATTGTGCTGGTGGTGCAGGCTCTTTTGCGTGCAGAGGTTGCTCTGGATGGAGCACCCTTCCACAGCCATGTGCTAGTGAGGAAGGTGCTGCAGATAAGCTGCTAGAATCTGTCCTTTTTGTTAACATTCTCTATCTACAGTAAGGTCGTAGGCAAATGTTTACTCTGCAAACAGTCATGCCTGTTGAAGATGTTACTGCACAGCTGTGGTTTGCTGCAGTTGTGCCTTGGAGGTGGTGACTCCAGTCAGCAAGTGAAGGAAGATCATCTGCAGGGGCTACCCACAGGGAAAGAAAGAAAGTCATCCACATTTGCTTAAATGGCTTAAATAGATGACTCAAATGAACTCTGCTGGATTTTTCCTCCCTCTCTTTAGAGTAGGCATTGTTCACATGAAGTATTTTGTCAAACACACCAGGATATGAATAAGTCAATCCATTCCCTTGTCTCTCAAATGTAATAAGTTTCCATCTCTCCTTTGTCAAAGACAGGTCTTCGTTTTGCTACCTTTTAGAAATCAGTAGGAGGAAGAATATCCTGAAAGCAGTCAAATACAGCAGTACAAATGTATGCCCAAGTCTTCAACTGTACTGTTGTGGCATTTTTTCCAATCAAGCTTCTGACTTTTTGTTCACTGCCAATCTCCCCAGTTTTCATTTATTCTGTTCATTTCTTATTGGGTAAATGTCTTCATATTGCTAAACACTGAATCTCATTAAAAAAAAAAACCAACAACATAAGTTTAGCTTGTTTACACCTCTGCAGTAGAAACTACAACTGTGAACACTAAATAGTTCAGTACAGAAGGAGCTGTTTATTAAGGCAGGTATATATTAGAAATACATGCAGAAGTACCCATGCTCAAGTTGAATGAGCAAGACTGAAAAACCAACACAACAGCACCCAAACCTGACTTGATAGTGTGCTTTCTAACAGCCACATTTTACTTTTTATTCTGACTTTTCTTGGCCTGGCACTTGCTCACTACCAAGTATAATAAATCCATTCTACAAGGAAAGAAAGCTGAGGTTTGCAGAACGGTTCTGAAAACACAAACCCACGCAATTATTTCTAACACTTCATTTCCTGTACAGAATTTTGCAGTTGCAATTACAAAAACACAATTAAGAGGGTTCAGAAATCCTGCAAGAACATGTCTGAAGTAGCTCTCAAGCTATTCAAATACTGTTTTCTAGTATTGTCCAGCTCTGTTCCTTTGTTGGTAGTCTCAGAACATAAATCAGTGGCTTACCATAATTTAAAGATATGTTTATCTAATGATAACCTTGATTTATCTAGAGTTATTTCTACTGAGCAGTTTCTTCCATGCTCTTTCCCACAAGAAGGATATAGTCTAGGTCAGGCTTGCAAG